AAATCAATCTTGCATTTATAGAAATATTATAGATTCTCTCGAGAAAATAAAAAGATTACACTATTATGTTCCCCCCAAATAAATATTTCGTATAATATATAAAATAGCACTATTATATTGCGGATTTTATTACAAATAGTAAATCATAAAATTACTTAATTTTTACTGCAATAACGTCGATCGCATCGAACACCAATTTCGAATTTAAAAGTGCCCCGTGCCAAACCAATCGACTTGCTTTGAAATTAATCATAAGTTTTATCAGATATATCCGGAACGAAAAGGATTAAGATTAAAGTGATATACAAGATAATACTTGGCGTGTCCGATCTGAAATAAAAATTTGCAAAAGATTATCAGAAATCATTATCAATATATTAATAAAAATGTATCATTTATATAATGCGATAAGATTTATTCAATAGATAGGAAATTCTTTTTTAGAAGTATTATATAAACAGTATATATTTACAGAGCTTATACCATATTGAATTTTAGCGGACACAATCACAACGTGTCTTAATGCTCAATCTCTTAGAGTCAATCACTTAACAGGTTTTAAAACACGATATAATTCTAATAAGATATAATTTTATTTTTATAAATATAATTTTAATACAGACAGAAGTTAATCTATATAGGTATTTTATAGATATAATTTTAATACAGAAGTTAAACTGTATACAAATCATATAATTAATAATAACAATATAAATTGTATAAGTGAATAAATATCAAAATATAAAAAGCAATGGAAAGAAAATTCTTTTTGTTACGGAGCGGATGGACACATATATTTAATATGAATATGAAACAAGTCCATTTTATTGAATAAAAATATACAATTAAACAGAGTATATAATTCCTTCTAAAATTTATTCTAATAAATGATAAAACCAGAAGAGATCAAATAGTTTTTTGTATTTATTGATTTATTAAATATGCTTATATATCGCGGAATAGTGCAACACAAGAAGAAAAGTGATGAAGTGATTAACGGTTCTTAAGAGTATCGCGGAATAGTGCAAGGAAGAGAAGTGATTTCTTTTAATCGATGTCATATTGAGCAAAGTTAAATTATATTAGCGAAATAGACCGAATGCTTTACACACAATGCTTGAATAAATCTGTGCATTGTCAATTAACATATTTGTGATAAATACATTGTTGGAAAATAATTTTGGAGGCATTGAAGGAATATTTGAAGATTTTGGCTGGCCATGTTTTCGATAACTATAAACTGATAATTATATGCGTGAACGCGCATTCGTGTATATAATGTTTATTTATATTTTATATACAAATGTAAATAATGCATAATTAATATCTTTAGGCTAACTTACAAATGGCTACGCAATGGGTTTATGATAAAGTAACAAAATATAAATCTTGTGAAAATTCTATCAAAAATATCATAAACACAACAACATTGAATACACATATTTATTAATTGGCTTTATAAAGAATAATGAAATGATAAAATCATATCGAAGCATTTCTATAGTATCCACAAATTCTGCATTCTGCAAATCTGGCTCTGTGGATTTGGCTACTCGCAACTTCTGATTCTGGAAATGTGTGAATGTTTATTTATATTTTATATATAATATTGTTGCGTCCCTGCTGGTCGTCTAAGGCGGTTATTCATGAATCTGCTGTATTCGTCTCCGGGAGAACGTTGCTAAGCGTTGTTGTTAAACAACGGCGGACATCTTGAGAGAGATCGGCCATCTGGAGTCTCGCGACGGATGTCATTCCGGGCGGACATATTTGAGATACGATTACCGTTATTACCCGTTCTGTGTTCCTTGTTCATTTGTGTGTTCTGTGTTATTATTAAAATTCCTTTTGTTCTTTGAAAAGAGTGTTAATCATTTACGTCGCGGTACGCGAGTGCCGTTTGTGTCGCGCGTGTTCGAGTATTATCGAAATCGACGCGCGGACGCAACAATATTAATGCGTTTTATATATAATAAATAATTAATGCATAATTAATATTTTTAGGTCATGTATAAATGGTTAAGCAATGAGCATGTTTATATTAATATAGCAAAACAAATCTTGTGGGAATTTTATCAAAAATATTACATACACAGTTGAATTGAAAGCGTCAGAGTTAGAACCTGAAATAGAAATATAAAGCATTAAAAGAGAAATAAGGTAATAATTTTGTTTATAAATTATATAATAAAGATTATTTATTTTCTTGGACTAAATATTTTAAGGACAAGACTTTTAATTATTTTTTTTTTGACATAACGGTTGAACTTATTTTTTTAAAGCAATGAGAAACGTGAATGTAAAAATTGATGATTTATTCAGATGGATAAGCTGCCTTTTGCAATATAATGTCGGAGAGCATTAAAATATGTCATCGACAAAAAGTAGTTCAAATTTGAATCAAAATGAGGACGAAGAGTCGGTTAGTGATGCTGAATTGCAGATTTTATTAGAAGATAGTATAAAAGTTTATGACAATTTGGCAGCTGCATTGATTAAAACACAAGCCTACAATGCAGCTTTAGAAAATGTGAAACACGTTTTGAGGTGTCAACCACAAAATGTGAAACTATTTAGGAAAGATATTGCAAAAAACCATAATCTTCTTTTATTTACTATATTTAATCTATTTTTTTTTAAATAAGTTGTATATATTCTTGATTTATATTTTACATATAGAAAATTCAAATATGTGTGTATACAATATATTATGCGTATTATAGGAACAATATTGAGACAAAGGGGAATATCCAAAAGCTTATGCAATCTATCTCTCTACTGAAATTAAAAAATTAAATCCTGAAATGAAGATATCTAATACAGAATTACATAGAATTACATAATATAGATATATATACAGGATGTATCAAAACGTAAAGGAGAAAGCTTTTAATAAAGCTAGTGCGGACTTTATTTTTCAGAAGAAGATAGTCCTGCACCTATTGGCATAGCCAGTGCGGACTCTATCTTAAACAGGGAACAGTCCCACCACCCATTGATTTGTTTTATAAAAACATCACCGGTCCGGACTCTGCCACCCAAGGATGACAGTCCCAGGACACACCGGCGTAGTCAGTCAGTGCGGACTCTGTTCCCAAATAAAAGATACTCGCATAGCCACCCATACAGCATAGAACATTGCAATTACATTGCAGGAATGTTACAATTTTGCAAGTTGCAACGTAATATTGTTGAGATATTATTGGAACATTGGTAATTGAAATATTTCATGAAAATATTACAACATTACAAAAAACAGTATTCGGTAATCGCTAGTTCGTTCATTTACCGCTATGCGACGCGCGTTGAGTTATCTATCCTGAATTTAAATTTTAGTCACATGATGATTATATAAAGCTTGCAAAGAGCGGCTAGTAAGATTAAAGGTATAATAACTGTTTTTATTAGTTTAATTTTCTGATACGACCCCAACACAAAGAATTCAGATATTGAGCTGATTGTTCAGAAATCGGGCAGATAAATGTCCGAAAAAGTTAAAATTATCCGTTTATTGTCTACATAAGATGTAAAATAGAGTCTAATATCTATATAAATAAAATTTTAACTTTTACGAATTAAATTATTTAAATTTATTTAATTATATTATTATGTTTAATTATGTAAGTGTTTTTGTCATATAATATATATATTGTGACCGTATAATTTTCGATTAAAAATTATTTCATTATTCGGCGGGCGGTTCTTCAGTGCCCTCGGCACACCTTCGGCGCGTGTCTCGAGTATCGATTCCGCGATCCTGAGAGTCCGATTTACCATAAAATAAACCGAGTTGGGCGGCAGGTACGGCAGGCCGCACCACACAAAACGATAGCAACATCGAAAGAAAGATTGCGGAACCGGTAATTAACGTGACGGCAAAATCCGCGGCTACTCAGTGTACTCAAAAGGGTAGAGAGGGAGGCGCGGGAGAACGGGAGAGATCTTGAGAGTCAAGAACACGGGAACTAAAATAACACATTCAATATGTAAATGAAAAGTAACAAGAATATATGATATTAAACAGTAGTGTAGAGCAGTTCGTATCTATAAGTAATAACCCTCGGTGACAAAAGGTAATTTTGGCGCGAATAAAGCCCGTTCTACATTGATCGCATGTCGCCAGTCGCAAGCAAATCGACCAATCACAGTCAAATATTCGACGGAATAATCGACTGTGATTGGTCGATTTGCTTGCGACTGGCGACATGCGATCAATGTAGAATGAGCTTAAAGGATCGTAATGGTCCCGCGGAGATCGACACAACCGTGCGCAAGAGTATCGAATTACCGGGCGTTTAATGCGATTAAGGCTTGACTTCTTGGTCGCGAGAATTCTTCTCCGTACGGGTTTATTTCGTCCACGACAACTAAAGAAAACTTCTCGAACTCCCCGGTAATCACTTTGTACACGATCGTGAACTTGCTTCGATAACAATGGACATTTTGACGCAATATGACTCGAATCTTTCCTTTAACGAGGCCCGCGGTGAGCCGGTACACGCCTCGATAACAATAGCGACGACCTTGAGACTGCAAAATATCTGTAAAAATAAGCATTGCACGAAAAAAATGTTCCAAATAAACCCTCAATATTTTCGAGGGGGCAATTCCATCCCGCAAAAGTTAGCCGCCTAACGCCCCCCTCTGGGGGTGGAGCGGGGGGTAATTTTGAAATCTTAAATGGGAACCTCTACTTTTTATTGCATATTCTTGTAGCTTATCTCGAGAACTTTTCAAAACACTATAATAAAGTATTTTTCATTAAGTACTTTTTGAGTTATTTTATATTTTAATCTGACATATTTTGATATAAAAAATAAAATATCTTGTAAAATATTTAGTTTTCAATAATCTTACCGTAATACTTTTATGTAAAAAGCTTAGCTTTTGCGGGCAAGGCTTGTCGCAATAGTATGATGCACATTTTACGCAAATAATAGAGCAAACCTTGCCGTGCACGGCATGACAGCAAATTTATGGCAAGAACAGGACAAACCTTGCTGTGCACGGGATGACAGCAAATCAGCAAATTTGTGGCAAGAATAGGGCAAACCTTGCCATGCACGGTATGATAGCAAATTTGTAACCAGATTAGAACAAACTTTGCTGTGCATGGCGTGATAGCCAATTTGTGGTAATTTTTTATACGCGGTGAGTGATTCAGGACTTCTGTGACAAATTGTGAGAAACGATAAATCTCGCAGAGAGGACTATTTTTTGTGAAACAATCCGTTCTTTGATGCGTCGTTTAGAAGCTATGCGACTGCGCAGACAAAGTCTTAAATGACATTTATTATAGTTATGAGATGATGATAATATATGAATAATTGAAAATAAATTTATAATATGATGAAAATATGAATAATATAATCTACGGAATCCGAATCTCCAGAGAGACGACACTCGGTTTATTAAAAACGCGAGGTAATGTCTCGATCCGCGGAAACCGATACTTTCGGGGCTCCGGGGCTCGAATCGCTTGACGACGTGGCCGTGACGCAAAATTCTACACCAAAGAATCGGGCTTAGCCCGTACACCAAAGTACGAATTCACGGCGACGACGACAGAACAAAACGATTCCGGGCGCGATCGCGAGTATGGCGGATATGGCGGAGGATAACCTCACCGGTACTTTTCCTCTCGTGGGGGTTACACGGGGTCAGCGACGTTGACGTCCTCTCCCTCGGGTCCGTCCTTCGCAGCTGCCGATCGCCGGGATCCTCTCCGCTCGCTCACGTCTCGCTATCGCTCTCGTATTTCTTAGTTTTTGAAAGAAAAGGGGTGTACGGGTGGTCTAGGACACCCTGTATATATATATTTATTTACATTTTAAGTAAACAATAAACGGATGATTTAAACTTTTTCAGACATTTATCTGCCCGATCTAAGAGGAACAATCAGTCCAATATCTGAATTCCCTATGTTGGGATTGTATCAGTAATTGAACTGATAGAAATAATTATATTTTTAATCTTCTACCAGTTGCTCTTTGCAAGCTTTATATATTTCTCATGACTAAAAATCAAATACGAGATGGATGCATATAGCGCGTCGCATAGCGATGAATAAACGAACTATCGGCAGAATACTATATTTTTGTAAAGTTTGTAATAAAGTAAAGTTGTAAATTTGCTGTCATGCCGTGCATGGCAAGGTTTACTCTGTTATTTGCGTGAATTTTGCATCTCGTTGTGCCAGAGTATACTTTGCTTTGTTCTTTTCGTAAATGTGTTATCATATCGTGTACAATAAGGTTTGCTCTGTTCTTGTCGTAAATTTGCTATTATAGCGTGTATAACAAGATTTGCTACTAATTGGCGTAAAGTTTGTGTTACACCGTGAATTAGCATCATACGTGTTCTTCTATGCGTAAAATTTACGGGCAAGCCTTTTCCTATTATTTACAGCATCGTGAGACGAAAAATTTTGCTGTCAATTTGCTTCAAACTTTTTGACAAACCAAAACAAGACAAATGTTTGCTACACAATTGTTGTCAAAATTAAAGCACACCTTGTCGCAAAGCTTTGGCAAAACGTGATTTTAACATTCTTGGCTATCTGGGTTGCTTCTTTCTTTCTTTCTTAATATTTAAATGGCCGATATGATCAGGGTAGATCAATATATTCGGGTCAACAACAGGTTATATTAGAGTATAAATTTCAGTTATGTATATATACTGATTGAGTAAATTCTCTTTGGGGAAGGAGAGAAGGAAGGAATTTTTGGGAGGTGATAGAAAAGGAAAAATGGGAAAGCGCAGGCCAGGGTCGAGTCGGGAATCGAACCCGAAATCTCCGGGATGTGAGTCAGGCGCGCTACGCACTGAGCCACCAGAGGCCCTATCTGGGTTGCTACTGACATATAAACTATTATCGACAAAAAAAAAATTTGGTTACTGCTAGGATAATAGAGTCAAGCAAAAGACAACAGTTATCGTTACTATTACAATACAATACAAATTTATCATATTCAGCTTTTAAAATTCTGGATGATTTTTTTGATCAAATTACATTAAGATATATTTTTTATGTTTTTTAATAACTGGAAAAGAATTTTCTTCACGTATGCAATTTAAAACTTGTTCTAAAGGTTTAGGCGAATTTTGTATTTTACTTTTAATATTTTTAATATAGTTTTTAAATTTAAAACAGCTAAAATTATCTAAACAGCCGAATCTTTTTACTTCACTCGCAAGATGTACGAGTTTATGTACATTGTATGAAATATAACGAATCCCATATAATTCTTTATATTGAATTACAAACCACTTTAGTAAAGAATTTGCATAATCATTTAGAACACGACATAAATTTGAATCGCATAAAATTCTTATTGCGATACTAAGTGCAAGAAAGTGAGTATAGTTACGTTTTGATAAAATCGGTTTTAAAACAAGTCCTGTATATAAAAGGAACTAACGACATTCAGTTGCTTTCCAACGATCAATAATATGTAACGTTCTTGGTAATCTAGCAAATTCCGACGGAATTGAACATTTGATAGCTAGCAATTCAGTACAAAGAGAATCTATTTTGTGTTGCTGTAGCCTAATGTCTTTAGGACCTTTCAACCAAATTTTTAATAATCGCTTCATTACACCTAAACATACTAAATGCTTATAATCAATCGCAATATCAGAAACCATGCCAATTTTCAAACGCTTTAAAATCGATTCTCTTGTGTGATGTTCTTCCTGCTACATATTATTGAATAAATCATCTGTTCTCTAAGGCAATTATCAGTTTCTGGAAAAATAATATGAGGTACCCATTCTCCCTCTTAAGTGCATTTACTACATCCGAAATATCTTCTGTGATATTTAGTATATAAGTAATAAATGCTCTTGCAGGAGCATCGCAAATAATTGCATTTAAAACTACGGCAATTTTTTCCCCTCGATAACTATATTATTTTTTGAATATTTTCCATTTTATCTACAAATGAAAGAAGAAAAGTATTTGCATCTGTAGGTTTTGAATAACCGTGAAAAAGTCCCACTAAGGAAGGTTCTGTATGAAAATTAGCATTAATTACTACAAGCAATGGCCAAAATAGACTTGTTGAACTTAGAGATATTGAAGCACCATCACAATTAAATTTGTTGAAATAAACTAATCATACTTTATTGGCATTTAATATTCACCGCCCAAAATGATAACAGCGGCTCTGCTATCAATCCCACGTTCAATATCGTGCGCGATCTAGTATCGATCGACATCAGTCGTTCAGAGTCATTCGCCTGATACGCACGTGTGTTGGAAATCAATTATACTCCAGAATTTCCTAGACTTCATTCTTTCCTTTGTCGGTTATACCGAAATGTTGTTGTTGTGAGGTTAAAATAATAACGATCCTTTTATGCCAATAAAGAGATAATACATATATTTAAGAACAGCACAAAACGTAACGAAATATATTTAGGGCAATGTTAACTTGTTCGACGTTCGACCAAAGACAAAAAGCATAGATAAAAGAAAATATAGAAAAACGCTACTATACCAAGAACACGTACGCCATCTACGACCTATTGGTCCTATTGGAAACAAGCATATAGCAGCACCAGACATATGAGCAAAGTACGAAAACTGAAAGTGTTTATCCTCAACACTCCCACCAGTTAAGAACTTTGCGGTCATATCTTCTATTTGTAACTGACCACGTAGCCGAACAAAAGATTCCTTTGGAAGAGCCTTAAAAATGTCAGCCAATTGGTCTGATGATGATACATATTTGACTGCAATTTCTCCATCTTCGTATTTTTCCCGAATAAAATAAAAACGTACTTCTATGTGTTTTGTTCTTCTGTGGAATTCAGGATTTTTAATTAATTTTATAGCCCCCTGATTGTCCACATTCATTGGTATTGGTCCTTCGTTGGCAGCTCCCACCGATTCCAGAAGACGTTTTAGCCAAATGACTTCTTTTGTTGCATCACTGGCTGCAATATACTCAGTCTCACAAGGAAACTTACCCAAGTGTTACATTCCGATTTTTTTCAAATTTGGCACAAATGTAGAAATACCAAAAATATTTGACCCGTATTTTTTCATTTGTGCCCATAAGCGGTTTTACGAGTAGTTATAACCCCTTCAATATTTAACCCTCTACCATTATGTAACGCGGTCACCTCGCTCGACGCTCGGATCGGCTCGTCGGTGTCCGGGTTCGAGAGGAGGGGAGACTCAAGTTTACGAGACACAGTATAGGTAGAAAGAAATAGTTTATTCAGTTAGATAAA